CGGAGCCCGCTACCATGCAGTAAACTTTCGCCGCTTAGTGTCGTTTAAGATGCCGCAAATCTTTACCACGCTACATCCGTTTAAGACTCCGCTGGTGCTGAATTATAGTCCAAGAATAGAGTTACTCGGTAACGTAAGTTACAGACAGGCTTGCGGGAATTTGACGGTTAAACTCGGAACGCGCCGCATCGTCTGTAACCCGGGGACGTTTTAATTGCGTCGCTGACGCGACAGTTACTTCGGCTTTAAATGCACACGGTAGATTCCGTGTTCTGTTCATACTTTTCATATACTTAAACACAACTGACGAAAAGATAGATAACATTGTGGTGCGTTAATATTTAAATCAGGGGAGGCATATCTATACATTTTATCTATTAATAAATAATTTGTTCCCTTATTTCAAGAGTGTGATTCAAAAAATTAAGTTTTCTAGAAGAAGGGAAAAAACTATTTTGCAATATGATTAGAAATTATTAATTATATTTAGATATTAAAGGAGCAATGATAACCCAATTTCATAAATAATATACATAAATATCCTACAATTCTAATATTATAAAACCAATTCTTTTTAAGAATTTTAAAACCATTTTCTTTAAAACCATTTCTTTTCTAATACGATTTTAAAGATTTTTTTTTAAATCATCCTTTTTTAGTTGTGACAGTTTTTTATAAAGTCAAATCAGTTCAATTTTTAATTATCAATAGGGATATGTTTATTTGATTCATGATAATCACTTAAAAATAACGCTTTTTAGTTATTTCATTTTTAAAATAAAGGAGCGGTATATATACCATTACACTTGCACTCTAGTATAATATTCTGTATTATACTCGCTTAAAATCTTTCCTTTGAATTTTATAACGAAAAATATAATAATACCGCTTCCGCTAATTGCAGCACAATCACGCATAATTACAGCAAGCTTCCTCTCGACAATCTTGAGGCTCTCTTTACCGCATAGTAGCGGTACCGCTCACCTCGTCGAGCCCCTTTAATTTCCGAATAATATATTTTGAGATTAAAACGCTATTCCGGGTGTTATGGTGTTAGGTAAGCTACGAAGGAAGCGCGCAAGCACGATATGAGCGCTTTTCGTCCTCCGCGAACCGTAATTGTGCAATATCCTTACTTAATCTGATATACTTAAACTAAGTCTGTTCTAAGTCTGTCAAACAAAATCGTTATTTAAATATTTTTGCTTCTTAAGTAGATATTTAAATACCCTCGATTTTCATTCTCTCTCTCTATCTCCCCTCTCTCTCTCTCTCTCTCTCTTTCTCTGCTACATTACAAAAAGTCCCGTAATAATAATCAAGTCTACTAAAGCTTGATGAGAAAATTTCAATCAAATGTTCAATTAATATAACCAAATGTTAATTTTAATATAAGTAAAAATAAATGCTAATTTTACATTTCTAAGTATCACCAAACTGTAGATTACTATTATTATATTTGATAATATTTATTAAATATATTGCACTAATATGCTACATAAAATACATTTGGTAGCTATTACCAAACTTTTCTCATCTTACAAAGAATACGAAATTAATTCTCCGATCTGTTTCGAGAACGTATTTAATAACATTAAAATTCGTGCAATTTCACGGATAGATCACGCGAATTAGGCACGCTACGGAACGAAGTCAACATGTCAGATGAATACTTATATAATACCGTACATAGCGTGCATTTTGCCGGCATTTAATATCGTGTATCACCTCGCACAACGCAATACTTCTGCCGCACCAGAAGCAGAGGTTTTCCAAAACTGCGCCGCTGGATCGCGAAATATGTGATCCACCGACGGGAATTTGTAGCGCCTTGAGAATGTGAACATCGCAGGAATTCGGTGAATGTTTTTCACGTAATGGTGAAACTCGCATTATTTGACGTTCCCCAAAAGTTCGAAGTAAGAATGGAATTCTGGCAATATACTTTCAGAAAGGATGAAACTAACGAAAGCGGCACACGAGGATAAATAAAATACTCCAATCATATCTTGAAATACGCAAAACGTTTTCTTCGCGGAGATTTGAGATTTGACGTTATTTGTTATTGCACACCAAAAAATTCACGGGCTTTATAATAAATACTTTTATATAGTGATAAAATTGAAAATTAATAAGCTTTAATATATCATTCTTTTGCTTAAAATGTGACACAATTTAAAACGTAATTTTCAACTAATTACACTATTAGATATCAAAGGAATATTGATAATCTAATTTTTCATTATTAAAAGAGCAATGGTAACCTAAGCCCTTGAGTTTTAACATTTTGTTATTTTAATTTCCATCTCTTCTGTGTCAAAATATAAATCAATCCATTTCTGTAGATAGTTTTAAAATAAACATCGTCCATATTAATGCATGCACTTAGTAAATAATAAATTTGAATTGTATTTAATACATTTTCTTGAGTTAAATTGTTCAACCATTGTTTTAATCAAATCAACGATATATTGAGTAGAAACAGTAGCGACCTGTAGAAATAATTAAAAATAACTCATATAGAATACAAAAAAGTCGCTAATGTTAAATCCAAAAGAAACACTCTTTTATTTATCAGAAACTATGATAAATATGTACTTCATTAATTTATTAATATTAATAAAAATATAATTTGTTTAGATAACTAACGAAATAAAAACCTATGATGTATTTTTAGTGGCTTGTTTTTATATAAAATTAGCTAAAAATAAAATCTACAAATAATAAAATCTACAAAAATAAAGTTCTTTAAATTTTTTTTTGCAAATTATACAATATAATTTAAATAACAGTGAATATATTGATAATATGAGATCGTTTTTTACATATTTTTTTGTAGTTTCCTGTATCTGTTTTATTCATATTTTTCTCTTTCTTATTTTCTCATAGTATAAATTTAAACATAAAATTGGAGTACAGCATATAAACTGCCACATATTTATTTGTAAGACACACCACATAAGCTAATATAATCTTCACATATAGTATTGCGTTATTGTGTCAAATAACTCTATTAAAATTGAAAACATTCCCATATTTATGGAAAGACCGTCCAAAGGAAAGAACTATCGCGTTACATATTTGCATTTTATGGAACGACATAAAATATACATATAAATCACAATACAAAAAATATTTTGCGTCAAAGGATTCTAGAAATTCTCATATATATTCCCAGTAAGCAAGAAATGTAGATCAACATTTTGAAATATTAATTTTATATGAATTTTTATCAGAGTTCTCACACATATATTTTATAAATGTGATTAAAATATTATCTAATATGATATTTCTGTACATTAAAAAAATATTTAAAAATATAAATTCCGAACATTTGTTAAATGTAGTACAGAGTGTTGAAAAAAACGTTATTGAAACATTGCAATGTTAAATGTTGAAGTGTGAATATTTTTTCAACATTGCATCTATGTTCTACATTGATTATTAATGTTGAAATAATATTGAACAAATTAATATTATTAAAGTCGTTCACCTCGGAGAGTAATACTAATATTGCCTCTAGATGGATGTGGTGGGGCTTTTTGTAAATAAAAATTAAAATGGAATAAAAAGCGCAATATGAGATTTTTTACTCTAATATGTTCTAATAAAATGTATCGAACGTTTTTTATTTAGTTTTGTATAAAAATTAATTTCAGACATAATATTCTTAGAAGTTTATATGACATTTAAGAAATATTGAGTTAACATTTCTCGAACACTGAACTGCAATACTTTATTTCTCATCTGCGAGACATTATTTTAATAAATGTTGAACGTTTCCGCAAAATTTTTTTCAACATTTCTAAGATGTTAATTCAATATTAGTGCAATTTTATTTGGAATGATACTTTATAATAGTTTATATCAACATTCGAAATTTTCAAATTACAATCAAATTACAAAGTTTATTCGTATAATGTATACAACATTAATTACATATTTAAAAACTTTATATATTATTAAATATCGTTGTAATAATATTGTAGTATTGATTTTTTTTTGCTTACTGGGTTCTCTTGTAAGTGTTTTCCAAATTACTTCTATAAAGAAAAAGAATAATAGCATTAATGCGCCTGCATTGTGTCAGTTTTAATGCCGATTTGGCTTCCTTCTTGCAGCAAACAATCACATTCATCCCTAAGTCGTTTAAAATTGCAAAATTACACTATTTAATTATGCAAAACATATCTTCGATTTACGCGCTCGCTATTTCTAAGCAATTTCGATTTTTGCGCTGCATTAAGATTTGGTTAAGTTAGGGGTTAGGCAGACATAGAAAACGTAATTATTTTAGTTGTGTTACTTTTAAAATAAGGGAGCGATATAATAAAATAAATATTATATACATTGTTAAAAAATTCTTTTCTTCCATAAGTTTACGCATCGATCAATCAGTTTTGCAATGCACACTTTTCTCTATTTATAACGCTGCATCATACAATACAACGAAAAATACATAGCGATGTGTGACATGGATAAATTTTTCCCACATGATGAATGAACTTTAATTCGTCAGACTTTGCGGACTCGCAGTGAACGATGTTTGTCACACCGCGAAATCCATTCGTGCACGTCCACGTTCCTGCAGCGTGCCGAGGAATACATTCGCGGCAATGAAGTCCGCAGGCTATGCCCGTTGTAACTGGCAGCTAAATTAAACTTTGTTTATCAGTCCATAACGATTTTCCATTTTTTATCTCGGCGAACTCCGCGGGGCTCCACATTGCATTAGAAACTGTCCGTTTTCATTTCATCTCGACCGTAAATCGTTCCTAGAGCTCCGATTTATTAAAACTTCTTTTTCTTTTAATTTGTTATGCAAATTGTTGACGGGGAACTGTATTCGGATTCGAACATACATTGCATATCAAAATCATTTGCACAACACTTCTGCGGTAAGAAGTATTTTCGACGTCGTTTGCACAGACTCTTTAGGTAAAGTGTAGCGGAATCGACGCAGTGCAAGATTAAAAAATATCGTGCGCTTGGCAGCTTACCTTGTACGTAGAAAGGTTCGCCACGACACAGGAGAGGATAGCCTCTCTTCCCACTGGGACCGTCACGTTTGTTATTGGTGCGCTGAAGCTCGGTCCCTCTGAAACAGGACGACGTTAAATGCTAAGTGACCCATTAACAACATTTCGTTATATCGTCTGACCACGCTCGAACGCTATTAAAGCAAAGAAGAGAGAGTGTAAGATCATTGTGTGCTCAACAACGCTAAAATTTTGCTGTTAACACAACTACGTGCGATTACTATGAGACATCTAAGAACGTAATAAATTTTGTATGATTAAAAGCTTAAATTAATGCTTGATTAAATTAACTGCCAAACGAAATGGAATACATCTGCTTCCGGCACGTAGAAATGCGACACCAGATCCTGTGTGTAGTTCGAAAGGACCAGTTATACTAAATTTACTATTACGTAATGCGATTAATTGTGATTAGCGCGATATCAAGGAGAATAATGAATTAAACTTAAATATTATCAAAGAGCGTACGATTAAACTTAAATTAGCAGTCTATTAAATTATTCGTCCAAACGAAACGGCGATATATACACATGGCACGAAATGCAAAATATCGAATCCTAAGTACGTTATTATAAATCTGTTTAGAATAGATTCCGATCACGCGGAATTATTTCGTTTTACTAGAAAACACAATGGATTTGTTTATGTTATAGGAAATCCCGAAAAATTTTTAGCACTTACGAGGTAAATGTATATTCAAGCGTTCACTATTTTTAGTGTTAAATCATACCCAATTTGAATTATTTTTAATCATTTCTATAGATCGCCATTGCTCCTACCCAATATATTGTTAATTTTCAACTCAAACAATGGAGTTGAATATAACTCAAAAACATGTATTAAATTTGACTCAAATTTAGTTATTATTTACTAAATGCATACAACATGGATAATGCGTATTTTGAAACTAACCTCAGAAATGGATTTACATTTTAACAAACATAAACATTAAAAATGTTATTTAATTCAAGGGATTGAATTATCATTGCTCCTTTAATATCTGATAGTAACAAAGAAAAAGCAAAAATTCTGAATATAAAAAGTGCAAGCAACGCGAACAGATCTATTGTAGAAATCTAGGGATCTAATTGAATAATTCCGATCGGAATTCATTCCGAATAATTGCATAATAAAATGCCCTGTGCTCGGAGAGACCGAAAAGATCTGTCGGAATCCGGCCGGATGACGCCGTGACACCGCATGTAGTCTAAGTAACTCATTTCCGGGGGTTTCGCTGTATCGGCATGCTGCCGAGAATTTACTGACGCGAAACAGTTTGGTTTCGCGCGACACATCGCAGCCTCGCGATCGGGCGAGCAACACTGCTAGCATGGCACGTGTGCGCTGAAATATGTCTCCGTATCCATCCCGAAATGTTCACGTTCCTCGACAGCGTGCCGCGTCTCTCACTGGAAGTTCTGAATATCATTACGCTCGTCGTCACCGGGAACACCGCTCGTCTCGTCCGCGTAATATGCCGCGTCTCTCGCTGTGCCGTTACCGGCTCCGTCCTTTTCGCAGCGACAGGAATTATTTAAACAAAGCTATTTATGTCACGTATAACGGACAAGACAACTCATGCGCAATACATAGGCGCACAGTGTATCGCGTGGTATAGGGGTGAATGGAAGGACTATGAACACAAAAAAGGGAAAAGTTAAATAAAGCAAACGATTATTTTTATAACTTATACTATTCGACAAAAAATGACTTTCTTTGAACACTGTAACAAAATTAGTCATTTTTTAATAGATTTTAAGATATAAATCTAATTTCCAAACTGCTCCATCATATCACAATTTTGAGAAATTACAAGTTGCAAAAAGACTTATTTTCACATATTCTGATGTATTATAACTATGTGTATTATAATTATGACATAATACACGACGTGCCGGAGGAGTTTTATTAAAGTCAAAATTAAATATATAAATATTGTTAGAACTTTTAGTTCCCAAAAGAATTTTTTAATGTCGACTATAGTTAATAAAATATCTATGGTTAAATAATGGTTTATTGAATAGTTATGAATTGGATCATTGATAATTTACCAAAATAGTTTTTAATTACGTTTATATAAATTTAAGTGTATTATTGAATACAAATGTTAAAATTGACAAATTCAAAGTGGTAGATTCAATATACCAGATCAAAACTTAGAAAATGTCTGAGTTGTTATAAAAATTCATGTATAAAGATCTTTCATGACAAGACTAAAATGTCTTTTTGAGAACTAAAATTCCTAATATAAATGTGATTGTAATAAAATTTCTCTAATACATCATATATCGTAATTGGAAACCAGAAAGAGAGAGAGAAAGATTCGTTTACGGATTTCCCTTTTATGCTATATGAAGTTACTTGCTATCACATGCAAATCTTTCTCTTGGTTTTTATTTTTTGAAAATATATATGGATGTTAATTATTATAATTTAAAGTCAAGTTTTTTGAATAAATTTAATAATTTATAAATAATCAACTTTATTTAACTTTGTCCTTAAGGAGTTCTCTTATTTATAATTCTCTCTCTCTCTCTCCCTTCTTCCCTCGCCCCCTCTCTCTCTACATCAAAAACATGTAATAATATACATTTACTTTAATTAAACGGCATGTGTGTTTAACGAGTTTAGTAACTAGTACTGAGCGTACCTATGTCGGATCACTGGTACGAAAAGTGAGAGATTATCGCTACACGGAAAGAACAGTTTTGTTAAAGTGTCTAAAAGTTTAACTAAATATAGATCTGAAAATAAACTTTGTTCAACTATCAAAATGATTATGTAGAACGCTCAAGTTGATTACTACAATGTCAAAACTTTTTGCAGCATTGTTCATCATGCTTGAATATCTTGAATAATTATTTTACCATATTGTTCGCATTTACCCTCTTCGCAATTTTCCCATTTCATCCTATCTTAAGATAGAAAAGCGGCTTCACTCCGCGTGCGAAAAAGAAATAAATCAATTCTCAGTTTCTAGATCACGTGCTAAACGAATGAAATCAATCAAGGCAGATCATAACGAATTGATTTGCGATGATTTAATCCTCGAAGCAAATATTGCCATGATACACACGTATACGTGAAGAAGGTAGTATCGGAAGAAGGTAAGGGACGCGCGAGGGCGAAACAGCGAGGAAATCGGCGCTGGAACACGGTGTGCGCCAACAGATAAGCACTGATCCCAATTACACGTCGGAATAGAGCTGTTTCCAAGTTGAGCGGATCATGGATTATTGACTCCATCGCGATTACTCCGCGGTCGTCGACACAATTGGCAGATCGATACACCTTCGATCGTCTATGTTTAACTCTAACTGGAACTGAAACGAGTTACCGGACAATTTTAGTTTGTCTTCACAATGTCATGACATATTCATAATTTCGAGGTACCTCATAGGTTCCACCATGCGCGTCAGAAAGCTAAAATCCCTTTCGACTCTCGCATAGTTTAGTCGTGAATACCCAGAGAAAGGTATCTTCGAGTCAAAGAAATGTTTCTTTGCTATATGGTTAAAAAAATTCTTTAATTTAAATATCATTTCTTTGATTTAAACATTATTTTTTTAAATCAAATAAAAAAATGTATTTAATTTAAAAAAAAATTATGCTTAAATCAAAGAAATAACATTTAAATCAAATAAATTTTTTCTTTAACTGTATAGCAAAGAAACATTTCTTTACCTCAAAGAAATCTTTTTCCGTGGGTGAACAGATATACATAAATAATACTGCTAGAAATAAATTCATAGAGGTGCACAGTTGGAAAATTTGTGTTAAATTTAACACATTTCACGTTCCATCTAAATTTCTGTATTAATTTAAAGTTAATTAATTTAATATAAAAGAGGAATATGTGAGAAGATAACTAAATGTTATATAAAAAATTAATATCAGGTACATAACACTGACATAATTTGTAAGCAAATGGAAGCATATTTCTTCAATAAAATTACATTTATTAACATTTATTAACATTTAAGACAATAAGTTTCTGTTCGTTTTTTAGGGATTTTATTTAGAGGGGGTTATTAAACATTTCATAATGATTATGTTGAAAGTCCGACAATTATCGCACAATCACATTTGGAACAAAAAAATTAATTAAATATATTTGTAACATCTAACTTTGACCGTTCGGCGTTCTTATTCGATTAACATTAAATTAATTCTTTTCAGTAAATTAAACATTTATAATATATTAAATTAATATTTCAATTATTTATCGTAGAATTTATTTTAAAACGTCTTAAAATATATTATTTTTATGTTTAATTGTTCATTACTAAAAATTATATTTTTTTGAACGCTAAGAAATGTTGAATATCAATTTAAAATATCCAAATAACACAATCACATTATGTCAAATTAATACTCGGATATATTAAAAAGATTCAACGCAAAAAGGACCAAAGTTTTTACACAAATACAAAATGTTTTTACTGTAAATTTTTTATGCATAATATCAATTCAGCTAATGTGCTTCCTACACATATTTTCAAATTTCACGATTTAAACTTATTGAGCACTTAAAAACGATGTACATTATGTTGAAGATAACTTTAAAAAAAAATTCGTTTCTAAATATTAACCGGAATCAATACGAAAATCAAGCCCGCGATACTCGCGATCCGATCGATACTCGATCACAAGAGCCAAGAAACTAAGGTAACTTTCTTTTCTTCGCTCGCTAACATGCAATCTCTGCAGATCGAAGCAACTTGACGCACCTGCGATCCACCGTTGTGGACTCGGGGAAATTGAATTCAGCAAGGAAAGCTAGCCCGAGTCGATCGAGTACTCGCAGACACATGTAGTACCATCGAGAGCAGACCGACGAGAATGAAATTGCGGACCATATCATCCCTTGAATCGCTTCGGAATGGTAATTACAGATCGGTAAATACCCTGTTAACAGCAGTCGCGAACGTGATAATCACAGGATACGTACATATTCGTGATACCTTCGACTCCATTTTAATTAGCTATTAATCTTTGATTGTACCCTTTAAAAATAATTTATCCATCCTGGAACACAACAGCGGGATATTTTGTATAC